GGAGACGCCGACATTCCCTGTCTTAGCTTGAAAAAAAAAAAAATGGTCAGCTGACAATTTATGAAGAGTAGTACGTACATGGAGGACTTGGCTTCTTGCGATGCAAAAGAAGAAAGAAACCATAAGTTTTCAATAATTTCAACAAAAAGGGCAGACTTACAGATCCGTCCATCTGTGAAAAAATTCCAAGATCGGAAAACGGATCATATTTAGCCATCTCTTCCAACTTTTGATTGGCTTTTTCCAGCTCTTTTTGAAAGTAACTCTTCTCAGTCCTCTCTTTCTCCGCAACAGCCCTTTCTTTATCCGCAACAGCCTCCTTAACTTCAGCTTTAAGTTCCAATACTTGCTTTTCAAGCCCAACCCTATCCCACTTCAATTGCCCAATTTCACGTTTTAATTCTTCATTTTCGGCCTTCAAGTCATTCTTCTCCTTCTCCAATTCCTGTTGTGCTACCTGAAAGTACATAATGTAATAAAAATTCAAGACGATTCCTGCAAATGAAATGATAAAAACGTTTACCTTCTTTTTTGCCCTATACTTTGCATCTTTACCCATCCCTTCTTTCTCCGCAGGCTGACCTGCTTTACTAATTTCCCTATTTTTTCTTTTTCGTCCCTGCGGCTGATCAGTTCCACCTACTGTCTCACTGCCTTTATTACAGAATTGAAAGGCATTTACATATGAAACAATCATCAAATCTATTAAAATGTTTATTAAACAATACACACTATATATATATCTCTGATTTTGTTTGGGCACTAAAAAGATACTATATTAGATTCATATAAAAATCTAACACTAAACAGAAACTAAAACCAGACGTGAACACGAGGAACACAAACAAAACCCAAAGAAGAGTAATACGATCAAAAATCAAGAAAGAAATTGGTTAGTATATATTGGAGTTTAACATGACTAGTATATTTTATGTATAGTTGCATCTTTTAAATTTGTTTTATTTTTTTTAATTCATATTAACAAATAATGATTTTATAATAAATGTATTGTGTAATATATTAAATGAGAAGGTATACTGCATACCAATTAGTGTACAAAAACAAGAAACAGCACATTTACGTGAGGAAGGGGAAGTCCAAACAGCTCCGTGCAGTAAATATACAAGCAGATTTACCTGATTGTGGAGGCAGCAGAGGTGACACAGTTCCGTGTTCCAGAGAAGCTGCAAATTAAGGAGAGAATTAAGGCATTTATGAAAGAAACCATCATCAAATCTGTCAAAATGTCAGTTGAAAACTAGACTATCTAGATATGACAAAAATGCTAGAAATTTAGAATTAAGGAAAAACCAGAAAACTTACGAGCATCTCCCAAGTCACCTCCTCCGCCAAAGCTTCGATCAGCTCCCGAATCATCTCCTTGGTGAGCCATCTCTTGAGTGATTGGATTTACCGATTTAGCAATAATAACCTCTTCTTTTACCGGATGCGGAAGCTATATCATCGTACTTCGGTATTTATAAACTTTTGAATGTCGAGAGTCGCGCTGATATCTTGCCTTAATCGCGCGAAGGTCAGGTCTCTGGCTAAAACTGGCCAACGATTGCTTAATTTCGAAGTTATGGTTCTGTTGACTTTTAAAGTAAAGAAATTTGACGTTTTACAGTTACCTCTAATTTGAGAAGTGAAATCCAACTCAAAAGCACATTTAATTGAACCCACACACCGAGCATCTTTTAGTGAAGAGCATACCTGGCATTGCATTGAGGGAATTTCCTCTTATTCCTTGAACTTTGCCCGGTTTGAATGGGGTTAAAGGTGTTAGAATTCAAATCATGAAATTAAAATGAAAAGTTTTAAATTAATTTAAAGATAATAATTAATACGCTTTTTTTTTTAATAAATCTCATAACACTTATTAATTCAATTATTAAAATCTATAACTTTTAATTTTTTTATTTTTAATTTAAATTAAAAAATAATAATTTTTTAATAAATATGTTTTAGGATGTGTTAAATTGAATAATATACTCATTATTTTTCTTAAATTAAACATATATATAGTTGTGGATTTACAAACAAATTCTGCACTTTATTGTGAATTTCATTCAAAATTTCGAACTAAGTAGTAAAAAGTAAAGGAATAAGAGAGAAGATTTCTCATGCCTACTATATGAGCTTCCCAAAATTTGCTTCATGTGTGCCGGTCCATTACAGGTGATTTTTGAACGGGAATCTAAAGCTGGGGCTGCAATTTTGGTTCTTGTCTTGTGCAGAGTATTGAACTTTGGGACAAAGTAAAGAATTTCTTGCAATTTCATCCCACCCCAGTTGACTGCAATTTCTGCTACTTTTTCCCTCCAATTCCCACGTTCCCATTGCTTGCACTGTCTTTAATGATATAAGCATAAATGAGCTTTTTATTTATTTCTTTCGTCTAAAGCTTCATGAATTAATAGTTAATAAAAATAATTATAATCTAGTTTGATAATATTTTCACATATCTTTTTTATAGAATCCCTTATCTAAAATATAAATTCTTAATTAATTTTTAATTTTAATATAATTTTATTAATTTTAATTAATATTTTATATATTTTTAATATTAAATATAAAAGATAGTAGTATAAAAAATTCACCTCTATCGTTACAGCACTATACCGACAAAAGGCCAGCGTATTGGACAGGTAGGGCCCACCAAT